GAAGACCCAGGTTTGAATCCCAGAACCCACATGGCAGCTAACAACTGTCTGGTCCCAGGGGATCTGACAGCCTCTTCTGACCTCTGCAGGCATTGCACAACACAGGTGCACTTACCTACATGCAGGCAATACATGCATACACATAAAATAAAAATAATTTTTTTTAAAAAAGCATTTTAACCAAGCATGGTGGCACATGTCTTTAATCCCAGCACTTGGGAGACAGAGACAGGTAGATCTCTGTGAGTTTGAGGCCAGCCTGACCTACATAGGGAGTTCCAGGACAGCCAGAACTACACAGTGAGATCCTGTTTCAATTTTTTTTTTAATTAAGAAAGCAATTTTCACTTGGGCCAGGCATGGTAGTGTACACCTACATCTCAGCACTCAAGAGGTGGAAGCATGGGGTAGGTGGAGGGTTCAAGAACAGCCAGAGCTGCATGGCAAGACAATAAATAAAATTAAACAGATAGAACAATTGAATTATTAAATTTATGTGCTTTCACACAGGCTGTTTTGTTAAGGTTTGACCAAAATGATTTCCATTTCTGGATCACCATGGAGCCACAGCTTGAGAAAACTGATGGCCTTCTTGAGCTCAGAGCTGCTGAGACCCTAATGTGGGGGAGGTCTGGCCTTCCAAAGATCAGCTAACCTTCTGGGAAGGGCTACAGACCCCTTGCCAATGCAGGAGGGAAACAGTGGTCCTCCAGGTCATGCTCTAGCTTTCTCTATTTTTTGTCTGACCTCAGCTACTGAATTCACTGCCCTACTGAACACATGTGCACATACACATTAATAACAAGAAATACTCAAGCTTAAGACAAATCAAAACACTCAGGAGGTTGGGGCACAAGGATCATGAATTCTAGGCCAGTCCAGGCCTTACAGGGAGACTGTTTATCACTGGCAATGTCCTCAGTGCTCAGGCACCTGCCTTTTTTGGTCCTGGAGTCATTGTCTTGGTGAGATTTCAACTACTTAACCCAAATAAGATGACATTTTGTAAGCCCTCCTTGCAGCTGGGACAACACGTAGTTCTTACAGGCCGATGTTGTCTCTGAAAGACCTGCTTTTCCCGGAGTCTACAGTTCTCAGACAGCCCCAAGGGAGGTGCAAGGTGGCCCATACTAACACTCTTTATGTTTCTAGGAAGAGATGCTATGAACAAAAACATGACGGTGGGGAGCTCATAGAAGAACCGAGGTAAGGAGAGAATAATGAGGGATGTTCCTATGCTAACAGAAGCTTTGACAACCTGGGCCAATGATATTGGCTTGTAAGTGGTCCCATTCTGTTTAGAAACTCCAAGGCTCAGTCCAGCATCCTTTGCTGGCCTCTGGTCAAATTCTGTAGCGGCTTCTCTTAAGCTCCACAGCACCTGATCCCTCAAGAAAAGTCATGTTACCCTGTGCCCCAGGACATGTTCCGGCCCTAACTTGTGATATCTGTGAATGCAACCTTATTTGCAAACCATGTTTGCAAAGACCATCGAGGTAAGATGTAGTCATAGTAGTTTTGAGTGGGCCTTGAACCAGTGGCCAGTATCTTTATGAGAGGGAGCATGTACTCACAACTGAGTATGCTTCTACACTATGGATGGCAGCTGCAGGGCTGCAGTGTGATCCCCAGGCCTAGCTACTGCTAGAACCGGTGCTTCCAAATGTAGGGGCTGTACAGTGAGCACAAGATTTAACACAGGCCTGAGAACAAAGCCAGTTCCATGAAGCCCATCACATTTATTTCCCATAAGCACATGTAAGGGAGAAAAGGCCATGAATCTGTGCTTTTAGTTTGTTCTCATAGTAGATGATTATCACTGTAATAATGAAACATCTCTCATGAAGAACTTAAAGGTATCTACTGCTGTCCACTGAGATTACAGTAAGTGTGAGGCCACTTGACACCGAGGCTCTCCACTATATGCCTGGTGTGCAAAGATGAGTCCGACAAGGTGACTGTCCCCAAGACAGTCCGAGAAGTGGCCCAGACCACATTAACCAGAGGACTCCACTGACCTGGCTTCCAAGAAGTTTTACCAAAAGCACACCCATCCATATACATTCCGAAGATACTTGTTTTCTGTAATGGCAACTGAATGATTTTGCAGCAGACTGTATGACTTCTTCGAATTTTCCATGTGGTGCCCATTCTGTGCTAGGCACTCCTTCAACATGGCTATCAAATGCAGGCCTCAGCTTATTTAGCACCTCCTCTGGGAAGGCTACTGGATATAGATCTGTGTTTGGGCTTACGTGTGGCATAGATATGGAATAAGTCATAGCCAAAGCTATCTGAGGATGTGGTACCAAGCCCTGGTGCACATGCACAGCTCCCAGTCACCTTCCTCAACTACCTTAGGAATACCGGCATTTTCTACAGCCTGACAAATCAAGTTCAAGCTTCCTGGCTTCATGCTCATTCCCTCCTCTTCTGGCCCTCATTTCTCTTCGCAGTCCTCTGCTTTGGTTACACCATTGCCTTGTGCTCCCACAGCATCCCGATATGATCTTGCGATGCCTCGACTCAGGCTTTCTGACTGGAAACAAGCTCTCTCCACCACACCAACAGTAAAAAGCAGAACTTTTTTCAGGAACCAGAGGTCACTGTGGTCTTGCGCTAGAGTTCCAGATACAAAGCAGTACTTTTCTAACTTCTCTTTTTATACAAACGCTTCTTAATACGCTGCCATGTGTGAAATCTTTTGTGTCAACTTCCTAGTATTTCAGGCAAAGTAAACACCAGCAATACAACTTTTAAAAAATATTACATTTTGGGATGTGTGTGTGTGGTTGTGCGTGTGCCATGGCATACTTGTGAAGGCCAAGGGACAACTTGTAAGAGTCAGTTTTCTCCTACCATAAGGGATCTGGGGATCAAAGTTCAGGTCCTCAGGCTTGACAGCAGGTACTTTTACCCAGTGAGCCAATTTGCCAGCCCTAGCAATACAATTTTAAATTGCACAATGAAAATGTCACTCAAGACCCACCCATCTGCCCTTTCAATGAACAAGGAATAGGAGGGAAGGAGAAAATAAAATTGTTTTAGGCAGTGCCCTTACTAACTAGTCCTGTGTGGGTAAGACAGGTAAAAATGAAAGGCAACCCATCAGCAAGAGTAACTGAAATGACTTGCTTTGAAAGGGAGTCTTGAAAATGAAGGGGATCTCCACATTCTCATTTAACAACAGGAAATACAAGCTTCTTTCTAATTTCCCATCAAAACATGGTCTCCTAGCAACAGCCACTGTAAGGTAAAGCTTCCGGGATTTCAATTTTACTGTCTGTTATGCATTTGTTGTGACTCAACCTACAGGGGTATCTTCTAGTACCTAAAAGCAATTAGTTAAAGGGATTTGTTAAAATATGATCACTGAAACCATGTGAAGGTTCTCACATATTTAGCCTACTACAGAACTGTAAAGTTCTGACCAAAATCTTTAAAAATTACTGGCAAAAAAGGAGATTAGGTCAAAACTTGAGGGGCTGGAGAGACGGCTCAGTGGTTAAGAGCACTGACTGCTCTTGCAGAGGACATGGGTTCGACTCCCAGCATCCACATGGTGGTTAACAACTGCCCATAATTCCAGTTCCAAGGGGATCTGATGCCCTCTTCTGATCTCCATGGGCATTGCATGACACAGGTGCACTTACATACATGCAGGCAATACACTCACACACATAAAAATATTTTTAAAAGTTTACAGTGAAGTTATAATTAATGAGTAGTTTTAGGCTCAAATGACTATTTTAATATAGAATCTGACTACTTGCTCATTTTTTTTTTCAGTTTTAGCAAAAGTCAGTGGAAACTATCACTGAAGATGGTTCATGTCACATAGCTTGGTGGCAGAGCATGTGCCCAGCAAGCACAAGGCTCTAGGTTCAATCCCAGCACCAAAGGAAAAAAACAAGTTTGCCTAAAACCTAGAGAAGCTAAGCCAAAGAAACAGCAAACATGGTCACTGCACCCTGGATATTAGCAGCAGTAACAATGATCCAAGCCTGCCCTATATCCATCAAGAAGTCACTGCTATCCATGATAGAAGTCACTGCTATCAAAATCACTTGGTGAGGCTGGAGGTGGGGCTGAGTTGGCAGAGGGCTTGCCTAGGATGCACGGAGCCCTCCATTCAGTCCCTAGTGCCACATAAACTGGCATGGTGCATGACTATAATCCCAGCTCTCTGGAGGTAGAGGCAGGAGGATCTGAAGTTCAAAGTCATTCTCAGCTACATAATGAGTAGTCAGGCTGGGCTATAGGAGACCATCTTAAAAAAAAAAAAAAAAACCCACCCGATTATTAATGTAATCAGTGTTGTTATACAGAGATATTTCAGGGGGGAAAAATCTACTTGAAAACAGTGTTGCTATGATCGCTCATTTTGAATGGATTTCAGTCAGAAAACGGAGGTGTAGTCTGTGTGCTTAGGCTCACTGAAGCCTTAGTTGTAACAACTAAGACACAGAATCAGCCTATTTGGCTATCAACAAAAGAACATACAAAGAAAATGTGGCATCTGTGTAGACTGGGGTACTGTTCATCCTTTAGAAAAGAAACTGTCAGTAGCAACAACACAGACAAACCTGGAAGACATTAACAATGAGTGAAATAAGCCAGACACAGAAAGAGAAATACTAGGTGACCTCAGTTTTCTATGGAATCTAAAAGTTGAACTTAGGAATAAAATGCTTATCAGGGGCTAGGGCACAGGGATGAGGAATAAGGGTGACTTTGGTCAAAGGGTGTATGGAAGGAAGACATGTGCGAGAACTACCACACAGCATGCAGACTACGGTTAACAATAATGGAATGCTTTTTCCAAAACTTCTGGGTACAGACCATGTTTAACCAAAAAAAGAAAAAAGGCTGATAGATGTTTATAAACTGATTTACTCATTCCAGAATGTGAACATATATCAAAACATATCATACCCCCATAAACATATATATATGTATATATTTACTGTCAATTAAATAACTGAGAAAAATAAGCCCACAAACCACAGTTTCTCATAGTTTCTCATAATTTTCAATTTTAGTTTTTTCACTGGGCATGGTGACACACACCTTTAATTCCAGCACTTGAGAGGCAGAGGCAGGTAGGTCTCTGTGAGTTCAATGCCACACTGGTCTACATAGCAAGTTCCAGGTCAGCCAGGGCGACATAGTGAGACCCTGTCTCAAGAAAAACCAACAAACACAATAGCTTTTCCTTGAAATCCAGAGTTTTACTACTCTGATTTTCCTCTGGGTCTACTGAATTCAAGTTCTACCTGTCAGGAGGTCACGTCTCCTCACATCTCTCTCTTGCTCATTCTCTCAGACTATACAAGCAATACTTATATTTCTCTATTCAGGATAGATTTATTCATTTCTCTTTGTGTGGTATTATGTATACATTTGAGTGTGTGTGTGTGTGTGTGTGTGTGTGTGTGCGTGTGTGTGTGTGCACATCTTTGCACAACCATGTGGAGGCCAGAGGTCAATGTTGGGTGCCTTCCTCAATTTCTCTCCACCTAACTTTTGAGACAAAGTCTCTGACTGAACCTGGAACTCTACCTGTCTCTGCCTCCTCTGTGCTGGGACTACAAATGTGCACTGCTACACCTTGCTTCCATGTGGTGCTGGGGATCTGAAATCTGTCCTACGCTTGTGAGGCAAGCACTTTACCAACTAAGCCACCTCCCCAGCCAGGATGATAGTTTCTTATATAATTAAACCTTTTCTATTGGTGGCCCAGAATATGTACAATAGTGGAACAATATCTGCTCTGAGCCATGTGGTGGACTGATATTCCTGTGGCCAACTCTTCTCTACCATATAACATCCACATGCCATATAAATTACAACCATAATTTTAAATGCATTGAAAATTCAAACCATATAACTAGATAATATCACTCCCAGACAGAAGTTCACAGCAGTATTGTTTAGATAGCAAAAACTAACCAAACCCAAAGCCCATGAACAGAAAATTAAACTGTATGTTTAGAAATACTAAATTGATGAAAATCAGAAGTAAGCATACATTATTCCATTTATATAAAATTCAAAAACATACAAAATTAACAGTTCATTTAGGCACACACACACACACACACACACACACACACACAGAGTAAAACTACAACAAGCAAGGGAACAAACACAAAACTCAGAGCAAACATACAGAACTTCTAAAATAAGTAATATTCTATTTCTTAAGCTGGCTGTTAGGTACACAGATATTTATATTTATTCTTCTTTATGTCTTATATACATGTTTATGTATTTCTGTGATATGAAATACTTAATTTAAAAAGGACTGAAAATATGAAAGGTGTTAAATATGAATGCTACCATGTCTGCATAACAATAAAATTAGTATAAAAAAGTATACAAGAAAATGTTCAATTATCTTCAGTGTCCTGTATTATCAGTATTAATCTACAAAGGCTATACTTTTAATATGAAAAGAAAACAAAATACCAAGCAGAATCTACCTGCTTTGACATAAAAGCAGATGACCATCTCTCCTGATACATTATAAAAGTCAGGTAAGAGTAAACATGTAACTGTTCATTTCCAATTCTTCCTCTTATCTATACTTAGATTTTTCTTTGTCTTTGGATTTCCTTGGACTTCTGCTTCGGTCTCTCTTTTTGCTCCTTTCCCTTTCATATGGATCTGTTTGGTATTTGGACTTGTGGCTGTTACTGTGGTGGCCATCCCTTTCTCGAGACCGGCTGCGACTGCGGTTCTGATGTCGGTCTCTCTTTTCACTCTTTTGTTTCTCCCAACAGCTTTCCTCTTCTTCATAATGACCGAAACCCATTTCCCTGTAGATATCCTGTCAAAGAAAGGCAGTTGGAAAGCTAATCAGGAAAATAATCACTTTATGAGCACTGTTGATTACTGACACAAAAATCTACCATTAGCAAGCTGTTATAACAGCTCAAATTAATTTTGCTTTTTTTTTTTGAGACGGACTCAGACTCATGCTTCCTTTGCCTCAGCCTATTGAGTGCTGGGATTTTAGTCATCTGCCCTCATGATTCCAATGTAAATAGTATACTAACACTGAGACTCTTATAAACAAAATTAAAGTCAAATATTACAGAAGATTTAACTTTTTAAAAGAGTGTCATTGGTTTGCATCTACTATGTCAGTGGAGCTGAAAAATCAGACCCATAAACATGGACTTAAATAGCCCAAGTAAAATTAGAATACTTATTTTGGTTTCTGTTTGTTTTCTTATTCTTATTAGTGATATGGGGGAATAAATAAATCTGCTAGGTAAATGCTCTACACCCCTAGCCCTAAGTTCTGATTATACACAATCATACTTCCGATTTCTCATCCCCCAAATATGGTCCCATCACTGAATTGCAATAAAACTACTAAACTTCCCCTAATAATTGTATAAAGAAGACACCACTCAACACAGCAGGAAAAAAACTTTAGATAAGTTAGTCAATCTTCAATGGAAACAAAGTAGATGAAGCAAACCTTGATCTGGGTAACCCTGCCAAGCAGGCCTGAACTTCTGATCTTACAGGGCCTCCCTGTAGCCCCAGCTGGTCTGGAACTCACTATGTGGACCAGGCTGGCCTTGAACTCACAAAGATCTGCCTGCTTCTGCCTCCTGAGGCTGGGATTAAAGGTGTACGCCACCATGCCTGGCTATTTAGATTTTTTTTTTTTTTTTTGTCTTTTTGAGACTAGATCTCTCTGTAGTCCCAGGTGTCCTGAACTCACTATGTAGACTAGGCTGGGCTCGAACTCACAAAGATCTGCCTGCCTCTCCCTCCCAAGTGCTGGGATTAAAGGCGTGTGCCACCATGCCCGGCCTAGAATATTTTTAAAAATCTAAAGTTAGGAGGCAGGCTGGGAACACAATTTAGTGGACTTTCTCTAAACATGCTTGAGGTGTTCTACCCCCAGACTGTTGGGGAAAATTAGTGTATAAAATACCTAATTCTTTGAAATCTTCAGGAATCTGAGAAGGGAGGAAAGGTTTCAAATCACCCCTATTTGGAGTAGTGTTCAAAACTTCAAGTCAGGCATATCTGACTTCAAATGGTCTTTATCTTTGGGAGATAGACACATTGAACCAAAGTTACTCTGTGTGGTTACATTTAGGGAAAGTTCATGGAGTAGGAAAACTCTGAAGTAAGCCTCAGAGGATGAGCAGGTTTGGGTTTGATTTGGAACTGGCTGATAGACTAGTGTAAATGACTACTCTAACACAAGAAGAGCTGGTGGTGGTGGCATATGCCTGGGATCCAAACACTTGGAAGACTGGGAGGGAGGTAGAGACAGGAGTGCAGGGCCAGTTCAGCTACACATCATGATGAAGTAGAGGCTAGTCTGGGTTAGACAAAACCCTGTCAAATATAAATAGATAGATAGATAGATAGATAGATAGATAGATAGATAGATAGATAGATAGATAGATAGATAAATGGAATCAGAACCATTAAGCATATGTAGGTGAAAAGTTTAAACAATGGAGGCTAGGAGCTGGCTCTGCAAGTAAACATGCTTGTCATCAATCCTTGGATACCAAAAATTGGTGGAAAGAGAATCAATTTCCACAAGTTATCCTCTGACCTCATATGTGTGCCATAATACGTGTGTATGCACACAATTAAAGGGGATTTAGAGAAAGGTGGTATTGAAAAACAACAACAAACCCAACAAAACACCAAGCCTAAGAGCATGTGGAGGTCAGTAGCTCCATATCTAAAGTGAACAAAGTCAATCAGGTGAGTCTAAGTCCTTTCCAATAAGTGTTTTGGACAGTTCTATTATTTTACATTTTATATATTTAAGACATGAGGCAGGTGATTAAAGTAGCATGTAGCCAAAAAAGGAAAGGATGGGAACACACAATGACACACGGACACACACGCACACACACACATAATCAATTTAACCCAGCAAATAACTTGCTATAAAGCATTAAAACAAAGTTTAAAGCTGGACATGGCAGCCCACATCTGTAATCCCAGGAATCCCAGCACTGGGGGCAGGAGGACTGTTAGTTTGAGGCCAGCCTGGGCTACTTAGAGACTTCCAAGTCAATCTGGGCCATATAGGGAGTTCCTGTTGAAAAATAAAAGGAGATCGCTCTGCAGGTAAAAAGCTTACCACACAACCTTGAAGACCTGAGTTCAATCCCTAGAACCCAGATTTTTAAAAAATGCGATGGCCTGCATCTGTAATCCTAGCACTCCTATGGCAAGATTCAAGGCAGATAGGAGAATCACCCAGAAGCTTGTGGGCCAGCTAGCCTGGAGTACACGGTGCAGCAGCAAAAATGAGATACCATGACTCAAAACAAGACAAGAGGAGAGAATTAGATTATTCCCTTTACGTCCTCTGACTTCCATGTGTGCTGGTGGACATGCCTGCACTCACACACCCACACTCATATACCCCAACCCCACAAAACAAACAAATGAAATACAAATGAACTATTAAAGTCTAATCTACCTAAAAGCTATCCTTGTTTAGTTCTCTGGGATTAAATTGAAGAGTCTAAGAAATTTAAACAGAAAAGAAAGTAAACACTAAAACTCTAAGTTACCAAAATGACAGCAAATATAGAGTGCCAAATTATAAAGAGTGCACAGTAAGAAAACCCCAGTAGAGGACTGAGACTCAATATGACTTCTCAGCAGGCAAGCCACAGCTAAAGAGTATTCAGTTTCCTGTAACCCTAGTAAGACCTAAACCTCAATAACAAAAAACACCCTGGAATGAAGACGAGGTACAAAAACTAAACAGATAAGTTTCAGAACTCAACAGTAAGGCTGCCATGCAACAAAAAACAATTTAAAAATGAGTTAAAACATTCTTAGGAAACTGTACTTACCCAGCAAAATAGCAATTAACAGGAAAATTTGAGCTACACCTGAAATTTAACTAATTTTGAAGATTCCTGTTAATAATTATGTGTTTAAGAATAAATAAATAAGCCAGGTATGGTGGCGCACACCCTTAATCCCAGCACTCAGGACACAGAAACAGGCAGATCTCTGTGCGTTCAAGGAAGCCTGGTCTACATAGTGAGTTCCAGGCCATCTGGGGCTACAGGGAGACCCTGTCTCAAAAAGATAGGAAAAAAATTAAAAAAGTAAATAAATAAATAAAAAATGCTAATGCTAAACATTATTAGAAAAAATGTAGCTACATTATCAAACAAAAGATATATTTGGGTGTGACACATATACAGAAAAAAATTATTTTAATGCACCTAAGGAGAAAAATAAAATTAGGAAATTATAATCCAGAATCATACACTTTTTTTGAGGCAGTCTTACTATGTAGCCCAGGAAGGCCTGAAACTCACTATGTAGGCTAGGCTTACCTTGATCTCACAGAGATCAGAGATCCCCGCCTCTGCCTCCCGAGTGCTGGGATTAAAGGTGTGTGTCACTACATCCAGCCAGAATCTAACATTTTTATACTTACCAATTTGCTTAAACTTCTTTAAAACTATTTTTTATTATTTTTTAATGTATACATGTAGCTGTGTGTGCATGCAAAAGGGCACAGGTGGAGGTCAGAGGACAACTTCCAGGAATCAGTTTTTCCTGCCTTGCTAAGCAGGGTCTCTCTTGTGTCTTCCGTGTTAAATGGAGCGGCATATCCTCATGGCTGTCCTCAAGCTTCTGGGCAATTCTCCTGTTTCTACCTTTCTTCAACACAGGAGTGCTTGGATTACAGATGCCCGTTACCACAACTGACTTTATTTTTAATGTAAGTTGCAGGGACTAAATTCAGATCATTAGGCTTGCATGGTAAGTTCTTTTACTTGCTAAGCCATCTTGTGATCCTTTAAAATTCTTCTAAAATAGTTTACCAGCATTCCCTCCAAAATGTGATATTATTTACTGCATACCAAAAGAAAAATACTGCCACCATAAAGTTCATTTAATATTTGCTGTATTTTAAATTATGTGTATTTGTGTATTCCTATGTGTGGGTATGTTCACATGCCTGTGGGTATGTGCACGTGTGTGGGTGCTCCTGGTGAGGGATGCCCCTGGAGCTGGAATTATAGGAACCTGTGAACCACCAGATGTGGCTACAAACTTGGTCCTCTGGAAGAGTAGTTGCTGGGAGCCATCTCTTCAGTCCTGCCACTATAAAGTTTTAAGTAATCAAAAAGTAAGGTGGGGGGCTGGGGGATGACTGGTTCAGTAAAGCGCCTGCATGCAAGCACAGGGACCCAAGTTCAGATCCCCAGGCTCCTATGTAAAAACTCTGGCCTGGTGGCATGTGTAACCCTAGCTTCATGGGGCAGCAACAAACAGATCCCTGGAGCTCAATGGCCAGCCAGTCTAGCCACCTGGTGAGCTCTGAGCTCAGGTAGAGACCCTGTTTCAGAGAAAATAAGGTAGAGAGTGATAGAGAAAGTCACTTGAATTCACCCTCTGGCCTCTACACACATGAGAACACACACAAGCATATATACACATACATTATATACATATATACCTACATACAAAGACACACACACAAAAAGTAAGTAAAGTTTAAAAAGAAGCCCCCTAAAAAAAAATAGGGTCAGAAAGTTCTTAACAGTGGGGAAGAGACAGATTTAAAACCAGTCTTTACATTTCTTCCAAACTCTGATTATCTCAACACAGCAATGTTTGCCTCAGGCCTGTATTCACTGAAGATTCCATGCATTTAAATTCAGGCTGAATTATAACTATAGCTAAAAGCAGCATGTGCAGAGGGGACCAAGGGGTCTTTTTGTTTGTTTGTTTTAAGTGGAAAATGTGTTAAATAGTCATAGGAATGTAATATAATGACTATTTTAAAAGATCCACTAGGGTGGATCTTGAACTAAATAATAGAAATTAAAAGAGCAAAAAGGGGCTAGAGAGATGGCTCAGTGGGCTGGGCCTGCAACCATCAGTGGTTGTGCAGAGACAGGATTGCTGAGTCTTACTGCTGTCAGTCTAGCTCCAGATTCAGGGAGAGACCTTCTCTCAAAGAGTAGGCAGAGAGTGATAGAGGACACCCGACACCCTCCTCTGGCCTCTGCGCACATACCCCACACATATGTGTGCACATATCACACAAGCACACACACACATACACCATACTCACACACACTTGCACACCCAGAAACAAAAAATAATAAAAAGAGGATACTCCTGTTAAATCACTTGAAATACTGCACTGTGGGTCAACTGCATTAAAATAACAACAGGATAAAGGAAAGAAAACTGATGAGAACACATTCCAGTGACAAAGTAGTCAGTAAACTACTTAAGAGTACAAGTCTAAGGCCGGGCATGGTGGGACACACCTTTAATCCCAGCAGAGGCAGATGGAGCCCTATAGATCAAGGCCAGCCTTGTCTACCTAGCAAGTTCCAGGCCAGCTGGGGCTACAGGGAGATCCTGTCTCAGACAAAGAATAAAAAGGAAAGGAAAAAAAAAAGAAAAAAGAAGAGCATGAATCTAATCTCTGGTTCCATTACGTGTGAAACTAGGCCAGTACAAGCTTCTTCATTCACACTTTCTTTGCTGTGAAATGGGAATACAAGAGCCTACCTCACATGCTTTTCCCTCTACTGATCCATGTGAAGCAATGGACAAAGATGGAACTGAAAACTGAGATAGGACAGAGCATGAGCGCTGTTAACAATCTTTAAGCAGCCAACAACAGGCTTACAGAAAGAAGAGATTATAGGGCCAAAGAGTGCATGCTGCTCTTCCAGAGGGCCCAAGTTCAGTTCCTAGCACCCATTGGAAAGCTCACAACTGCTTGTAACTCCAACTCCAGGGGATCTGACACCCTCTTCTGGTCTCTGTGGGCATCTGCAATCACAGGCACATATCCATACAATGACATATCCATGGACACATAGTTAAAACATAAACCTTTTTGTGGTTTGTTGGTTTTTTTGTTTTTTTTTTTTTGAGACAGGGTCTTCCTGTAGCTCCAGCTGCCCTGGAACTTGCTATGTAGACCAGGCTGGCCTTGAAAAAACACACACACACACACACACACACACGCACACGCACACGCACATGCACACAAACACACAGATGAAGGAGGAGGAGGAAGGAGAAAGGGAGAAGGGAGGAGGAGGGGGAGAGGGAGGAGGAGGAGGTGGCAGCTTCTGACTTGATCTTCCTGCCTCCATCTTCCAAGAGCTGGGATTACAGATGTGTGCTACCACAATGTTCAACCAGATTTTATTTTGAAAGCACAAGCCACTTAATTCCAGCACCCAGGAGGCAGAGGCAGGCAGACCTAGAGTTTGAGGCTAGCCAGGGCCTCAAAAAAAAAAACCAACTACAAACCAAAAATATTTTAAGCACTCCTTTAACATGAAAAAGAAAAATGAAGCCAATTAGCTGAAATAGGAACCTAGTTAGGGGCATAACCACAGGAAGAAACTATTACAAGTGACTTGAAAACAGCACCTTGATTGCAACAGAAGTGTTGATAAGATTTGCTGGTTGTAGAAAATGTTTGCATATACTTTTTCCCCCATGTAATCATAACAACATGCCTGTGATATACTATCTCCATTTCTCAGAGGAGGAAACTGTGACTCAGAAAGTTAACCTGTCTATACCACATCAATGACAGGGTAGAAAGGACCCTCAACTCTCCTGACAGCCCAGCCTTTAATCCCAGCACTCAGGAGGCAGAGGCAGGTGGATCTCTGAGTTCAAGGCTAGCCTGGTGTTCCAGGCCAGCTGGAGCTACAGAGAGACCCCGTCTCAAAAAGACAAAAAACAAAACAAAAAACCCACAGCTATCATCTATGTTTACTGTAGTGCTAATCACAACAACTAAGTTATGGAAACGACTGAGGGGAGTGGGTAAGAAAAATGTGGCACACATACACAGCCATAAGAATGGACTTAAGTTGTTTGTAGGAAATGGATGCAAATGGAAAACATATTCAGGGGATCAAGCCAATCTCAGCATAAGTTTTCTCTCATTTGTGGTTCCTAGATTTTATATAGTCACATAAAGTCCTATATTAACTGAAAATAGAAGTGGAACTGTCGGCTGGAGAGATGGCTCAGTGGTTAAGAGCACTGGATGCTCTTGCTGAGGACCAGGGTTCAAATCCTAGCACCCACATGGGTAGCTAACAACCACCCTAACTCCAGTTCCAGGGGATCCAACCTCCTCTTCTGGCTTCCAGAGGCACTGCATGACACGGGTGCACTTACATACACGCAGGCAAAACACTCATACGTATTAAATAAATAAGTTAAAAAAAAAAAAAAAGAAGTGAATTGTCTTGAGGAACAAAGGGGATGAATGGGAGGGGCATGAAAATGGAAGGAAGAGAGGAACAGAATGGGGAAAATATGCTCAACTGATACATGCGGAAGTATATGCCTTTAATCTTAGCACTTGGGAATCATAGCAGGTAGTTCTCTCTGAGTTCCAGCCTGGTCTACATAGCAAGTTTCAGGCCAACCAGCATAAAATAATGAATCCAATCTCAAAAAAAAAACCAGAAAAAAAAAGCTGAGGGGCTGGAGAGATGGCTCAGTGGTTAAGAGCACTGACTGCTCTAGCAGTCAACCCAGGTTCGATTCCCAGGACCCACATGGTGGTTAACAACCATCTGTAGCTCCAGTTCCAGGAGATCTGATGCCTTCTTCTGACCTCTGTGGGCACTGTAGGACACGGATGCACTTACACACATGCAGGCAATACACTCATACACATAAAATAAAAATAATAAAATATTTTTTTAAAAGCTGATAAATTAAGCTAACAACTGAGCTCTTTTTAACAGAGCCACATTTGTTATGAAAATGAATATCTACAGGTAACAAAATCACTCTTGCTTTATAAATACATAAAACCTTAAGATTTTAAGAAGATTGAAAACAATCTTCTATACTCTGTAGGATATATTATTGAAAATTTGCCCTGTTCTTACTTTTTTCTGGTTCCCTCTCTAGAACTTGTAATGCTAACTACTCTTACCTTTCCTTCTCCTTCATATCCCCTATTCACCAGTCAAGGACTTTGTTTTCTCCCTATAGATAAGAGTTATGCAATCTGGGAGTCTTTTAGATAGACCCACTGAAGGGGAAGCCCAATTGCCTCACCCTGAGTCCCTGTTAAGCACGGAAGAAGCCAGAGCAGACTCTATCCTGATTCCCTATCGGCAATTTGGGTAACCTCTTTAGAGGATGGTGTGATAAAAATAGGAGGTAGGAACTGGCTAGGAAGTTAGGGTAAAAAAGACCCCGAAAAGCAGCCAGTTTCTTGGCTAAAAGTCAAAATGTCCTTGGCCCTCTTAGTAACATACTGTTCCAAAGGCCAAAAATGTCAAAAGTATTTGGGAGCTTTTAAGGTTACCTCTTCAGAGGGGGGAATGTTATAGTAGCAGAAAGGAGGGAGGGAGAGAGAGAGAGAGAGAGAGAGAGAGAGAGAGAGAGAGAGAGAGAGAACAAACACAAATTTGTCAGAAAAAAGTAATGGAGAGATATGGGAGGTGTTGGAGGGAGTGGGCAAGGATTTGATCAAAACACCTTACATGCATGTATGAAATTCTCAATATAAGTTTTTTTAAAAGTAAAAAAAAAAAAAAAAGAAAAGAAAAAATTTAAGCCCATTACCTTGCATGCTCAGCTGATAGTTCAGAGCTGGGAGCTACTATTCAGAACTATTCCTTACCTCCTAAATTACATCACCAAGATGCACTCTACAAGGTACATTATATTTACTCCTTCACATCTAAGCCTGAATATTAGAGGTACCTGGTTAGTATTTTTGATTGGCATGTAATCTTCATCTTCTTTTTCTTCAGAGCAGTGATGGGTTTTCTTTTTGTGTTTTTTACTTGTATGTGAATGACTTGATTTTGAGTCTTCTGCCTGCTCATCCAGTATAAGATCATATTTTGCACTAAAGCACTGAATTAAGGACAAATAGGGCAAATGATGGATAAGAAGCAAAACATAATATAGTAAAGAAGGAAGGGTCATAAGGTTAATTGTAACTTTTTAAAGTACATTGCATCTGAGAGTATAGTCAGTCTATTTCTAAAATAAAAGCAGCAAACTATTTTTCATTACAGTCCAGAGAAAAAGAGGGAACCCTGACATCAGATAGCTAACAACTAGGAGACAGATTACTAGACTAGAAATAAGGAAATATATTGTCAATAATGAAAAAATTTCATAGGTGGATCTCTGTGAGTTCAACAACAGCCTGGTCTACAAAGTGAGTTCCAGGCCAGCTGGGGCTACAGGGAGACTCTGTCTCAAAAAGAAAAACTAAGAGACTATAAACCCTAGTGCCAGAGAAGCTATGCACAATCAAAGCACATTCACACAACTCTCCCTGTACATCAGTTAGGAGGAAATCTAGCAAAATCAACAGGATGTGTAGATTCTAATAAGAACTTGTGAAATGAAGGGTAGAGCACAGTACAATTGTTCACATGGCATGCATAAGGGTGTGGGTTCAATCGACAGTGTCGTAAAACAGTAACAAAAAGCCCCTAAGAAGTTATAAAAATTATAAGCTCAACAAACATGTATTAGAACCACATTTAGTTATCAGGAAATGGCAAAAAAAAGACAGTAATAAATATATACTACTAATAAATGTATTTTATATAATAACTGTAATAAATATATTTTAGTACTTTTAATATAATGTAATATTATAAAGGAAGTTATTAATAAATGAAAAATGCTTTGAAAAAAAACAGGAAAGGCCTATATGAAAACTACATGTGAGGCTGGGCGTGGTGGTGCATGCCTTTAGTCCCAGCACTCCAGAGGCAGAGGATGGCAGATTTCTCTGAGTTCAAGGCCCTCCTGGTCTACATTGAGAGTTCCAGGCCAGCTAGGGCTACAGGGAGATCTTGTCTGGGAGAAAAAAAAAGCATGTGCTATGCTATGTTGGAGAGATGGCTCAGCATTTAAGAAGCACTTGCTACTCTTTCAGAGGATCAGAGTTCAATTCCCAACATCTCACAATTGTCTGTAACTCCAGTTCCAGGGGATCTGATGTTTTCTTCTGGCCTCTGTGGACACTCACCCATGCACATACCCATATACAGACACATGCAGACACATAACTAAAAAAAAATTAAATCTTTAAAAACAACTCTGTATACAGTGGCACATACTTATAATCCCAGCTACTCAGAAGGCTGAGGCAGAAAGATGAGTATGAGGCTGGTCTGGGTTACACAGTGAAACCCTGAGGTAGGAGCGAGACCCTACAAATACCACAAAGTAATTATAACTTCGTCAAGTTTTATAAAAGATAAAGCTTAACAGGAAGACAAAATAAGAAGCATCATTGTGTACGTGACAGAAGTGAGCAAATCTTTTTAAAATTTTACATAAATGTGTAACTAGCATTTTAATTCTAATTGGGGCTGAGAATGTAGCTCAGTGGTAGAGTGCTTGCTATCATGCAGAAAGCCCTAGGTTTGATCCCAACATAATGAGGTTTTAATTTAGAAATAAGCAATTTCTCTAATAAAGTACAATGTCTTAGAATAGGAGAAAGCACAAATGATTATAAAAACAATCACAATTTCTAAAATGGACTCTGGAGAAGACTGAGCTCTGAAATAAAGGTTTTGAAATGAAAGCTTATGAGCAGGTCTAACATGCAGGTACTATTTTAATTCCGTGAGGGACTAGAGTCAGCATAGACACACTTCCTTCAGGACCAGAACCTCATGTCTATTTTTGCAGTGCTATTAACTTAGGCTTTCCCAGGCATGTTTCCTATCTATATAAGATCAAATAGGAGCTGGGTGTGGTGGCGCACGCCTTTAATCACGCCTTTAATCCCAGCACTTGGGAGGCAGAGGCAGGGGTGGATCTCTGTGAGTTCAAGGCCAGCCTAGTCTACATAGTGGTTCCAGGACAGCTGGGGCTACAGGGAGACCCTGTCTCAAAAAGATCAAATAGGAAAACGTCATCTTTTCTAGCTCTCCACAAAGTGGCCAGTCAGTCCGTTATTACTTCATTACCAACAATGTCTTTTCTCCTTTATACTATGTCTGATTTTTTTTGTAGTGGTCTTCAAACAAAAAGTCAGAATCCACCAATAAAGTACAAAATTTATGGTCTACAACCAGAAATTGTAGTAATACAAAATGGAAATAAAGCACATGACACCTAACAAAAATATTATGACCTGGGGACATAGGTAGTTCAGTGGTTGAGCATTTGTCTAATATATGCATGGCCCTGGGTTCAATTCCCAGGACTGCCAAGAAAAATAAAGAAATCTTTGTTTCAGTTGTGTGTGTGTGTGTGTGCGCGTGTGTGTGTGTACTGAGGGAAAGAAGTGGAGAGAGAGATGATTGTACTAGGTTAAGACATAAACAGCTTTTGTTAAGATGAGTTTCTCACTCAGTTGCCAAACTTAACATGAACTACGTTCAAGCTATCTTTATGCCTCAGATACCTAAGCAATTGGGACTTCAGGTATACACCTCACCTCAGCACTGCATAAAACTAGGGATGGTGGTACATGCTTGCAATCCCAGCACTCAGGCAGGAGGAGGATCAGGAATTCATGGTCATCCTAAGACTAGAGACCCTGGCTGGAGGAAAACAAAAGCACCAGACCCAGTCTTCCTCTACTCCACACCTAACTTGTACTTTAATTTCACTTAGTGTTACTTGAGGGTAGTTCCTAAGCCTCTCATAACAAGCTGCTAAGTCTTTGAGCACATGAATGTACCTCTTTGTAACACTCTAGACATAATTAATAGTAATAATTATGTTAGTCTCTCCCCTCTACTCCAACAACCAAATGTAGGTTCATGTGGGCAGGGACAGTACCTTTCACTCCTATATTGGTTATATATTGGATGTTAAGTATTTATTGATTACGTACCTGTTACACCACCAAGATACTTGTCTCTCCCTTCCTCA